GGACGCTAGTCCTTCGTCGGAGTAAAAGAGAAAGAAGTGGTGAAGAAGAAGTGGTATAAAATGATGGTGGATTGGACTCTTTTACAAAAGAGCCCGATTTTCGATGAACAAACTTGTTGAATTCCCTGAGTAAAAGTTCAAAAACTTCAAGCTTGAGAGAAAATTTAGCATTAGTACTGTTGGAATTAGTTGTTTACCAGTAAAAAGGTTTCAAGAATGAAAACAGTCAAGCTGCTCGGCATAGAAGAATTAAACATAAAGGCTCAAATACACCGAACTGAGAGCATCTGGCGGAAAAAATCGCAAGTAAAATGCCCTTCAAGTAGGTAAAAATAATCTCTTTTTTATTAGTTTGAATCCTCAAATGCTGAGTTTGATTCTCTTTTAGTACTTGGCCGATATTGTGGTTGTATTTCTATTGTCTGTTGGGGACTTTAGAAGTTGAAAAGTTGTGGAAAAAAAAAACCTGAACGTCGAGGCGGAGCGAAAATTCAAGTTGCAAAATATGAAAGAAAGTTTTAGTTTTAATATCCAAACTTTTTAATTAATTCCCGTTTTCTCAATGAAAAATTGTCTTTTACATAAAGTTACATACCGCATTTTTGAAAGCTAAACATATTAAATAATTGCGAAAAATCATTTCAGTGCCTTTTGTAGTTTTTTCCTCTGTGACTGTGATAACAGTAATTTTTCTTCAGTACATTTCGGTGAAAATAGTTGGTCCTGATAGTTCGTGTGTGAAACAAAATACTCGTCTTGTTCATCATCTCCTTAATCACTTTGAACTTAAATTTTATTTACTATCGAAAAAGCTATGATAAATGTTTTTTTCGCTGTCTTCACTTTAGGCTCTTTGTTATTTTCATCGCATATTTTATCGCGGTTTCCTTCCCTGGCGTCACTTCGTTGTTTTTACTTGTTCATGTTTGTACTGAAAACCATCCTGATTTGATCTTTTTCGACGTTCTTTTACATCAGTTGTTAAGTCTGATTTTTAATTCGTCTATGAAAAATACATGGCCCCGCTGCTGTCCAAGGGCAAACTACAGGCTCCGCCCTGTTCCAGGATAAGCACATGACTCCGACAATTTGCGGTATTGTTGCATTCTATGTTAGGAATTTTCGTTATTTGTTGCAGTGTTTCGTTATTGTTTTGTATTCCCAAGAGAATATGAACTAAGAGAAGGAATCCCCGTGCCCCATCGTGTGCACACTTTGAAGCTATTTTTAGAATCTATTCTAAAAATATCATCCAATGATATCATTTATTTCATCGTTTGATTTTCTACACGCGCATAGTACGCGCGCGCTCTACGCTGTTTACTAACGTTTTCTCGTGCTTTTCTTATGTTCAAATGTTCAAGTCTGTCTTCAAGATGAAGATGTAGGTCGAAAGCTTTGTAAAATTAATGTAAAAGTACTCCAGAAAGTTGAACAAATTACTACTTCAATTTCCTGTCGTATTGGCCAAGTTTTCGACGTGCACATTCACATTCAGGGCAGAGTCAAAATAACGGACAAATCCAACCTCGTTCCCATCACTTTTGGACGTACCATATTACATTTAGATTTTTAAAAAAATAATTTACATTTAAATAAGCTTTTATGAGATTTTCGTATTATTACTTCCAGTCTTATCTATATCTTGTTTAAATCTGTCATTATATTTCTCGAAAGATATGACTAGCTAAAAACTAGTGTGAGCTGCGTCGGTGTTTCTAATGAAACAGTAATGAT